CCCCAAAGTGGGCCCTAGGGGGCCCTAACGGAGGCCCTTGGGGGCTACAAAGGAGATAACAAAAGGCCCAAAAGAAATACTAAGAGGCCCCTCAGCAGACACTTAAGGAGCTGGTGCTGCTCTTATGACATCATCTATGGCCGTCACGATGTAGTCCACGTTGCTGTGGTTGACGCCCGCCTGCGCGCACACTCAGGCCTAAACCCTAAACCCTAAACCGTAAACCCTAAACAGTAGACTCGTAGCTCTAAGTGTAAGCCGTAAGGGCTGGCCCTAAGTCCTGAACCACAGCCCTACGCTGTTCCCCATAACCCCAAACCCTCATCCTTAACACCAAACCCTAAACCCTAGCCCTGGACCCCAGCCCTAAACCCTAAACCCTCGCCTGAAACCCTAAACCCTAACCCCAGGTCCCGACACACCATGCTGATGCGGCCATTCTTCAAAAGGTAAATGTGCCACTTGCTTGTTAAAAGTTCGCACTGCTCAGCTGCACAAAAAAAAGATAAAAGAAAATAAAAAGAGACAAATGGAAACAGAAAAAGACAGATTAGTCTTCGTTTTTCTCTTCTCTATTTGTCTCTCTTATTTATTTTTCTTCCTGCTTAGTGTTCATCTCTATTTTCTTTATCTTCTTATTGATCTCCATCCGTTTCTCTATCTCCAACCTGTCGGAGGGTTTAGGGTTTAGGGTTTCCGGGGGCCCTTTAGGGCCCTTCCGGGTTTAACGTTTATCGTTGGGTTTGCGTGCGCAGTCTAGGGTTTAGGGTTTCAGGCCTACGACAGACCGCTACATTTATGAGCGCCACCCGAGCTTTAGGCTCTAGACTTTAGGGTTTTAGGGTTTAGGGTTTAGGTTCTGGGTTTTAGGGTTTAGGCTTCAGGGTTTAGGCTTTAGAGTTTAGCGTTTAGACTTTACGTGTCAAGACAAAGGCCTTAGGGTTGGGGCTTCAGAACTTAAACGCTAGGGTGCGCGCTCTAGGGCGTAAGGCGTAGTTAGGGTTTAGGGTTTAGGGTTTAGGGTTGGGGTTTACGGGTGAGTCCTGTGAAGGAGAACATGCCGACTTGTTGGGTGATATGTTTCCAGTTTCCAGGGGTTTGTTTGCCTTCAAGTTTGTTCCTGAGGAGCTGCCTCATGTTCTTTATTCTCTGGGAAATGGCACTGAGTTCTTTTTCCCACTGAGTCCGCAGGGGGCCCCCCCCCAGTACCCTCGCCAGCACGAGGGCCCCGTGCAGCGGCGGGCTGCTGTAGGCCCTGCGGGCCAACGCCTTCAGCTGCGACAGCACGGGGGGCCCCTCGAGGGGCCCCCCGCAGACTGCATGCAGCGCGCCTGCGCGTTCGCCGTAAAGCCCCAAGTTTTTGGCGAAGGACTGGGCCACGAAAAAGGGAAGTTTCACACTTTTGCAAAACAGCCGAACTCCAAAAACATCCTTTTCCAACTCCCCAGACCCAAAGCCCTGGTACGCGCAGTCCAGCACGGCCAGCAGCTTCCGCGAGCCGCACACGCCGGCCACCCGTGACCACTGGTCATGGCTCAGGTCCATCCCTGCACCAGCAGCAGCAGCAGCAGCAGCAGCAGCAGCAGGTTGGGGGGCGTGGGAAAGGGAGGAGAGACACGCAGAGGATCAGGTAACGGAAGACACATGCTGGAGCCAGAGAATTAAACTGCCCATATTACCAGCAGCAGCAGCAGCAGCAACAGCAGCAACAGCAGCATACAGTCCTGACAGCAGCAAGAACAGAGCACACAGTAACACCAGCTGCAGCAGCAGCACGAGCACCAGTAGCAGCATCCAGTAGAATTACCCACAAGCAGAGCAGCAGCAGCAGCAGCAACAGCAGCACAAGCAGCAGCAGCACAGTCTTGACAAAAAAGCGGATCATCCAATTCCAAAGCTGCTTTGAGAAGATCTGGGATTGTAACATCCGAGGGTTTAGGGTTTACGGTTTACCAGTCGGGTTGTGTGCGCAGACATGCAAAACAACAACCGAATTTTCAGGGGCCTCTTCAAGGGTTTTGATCATGCCCTCAAAATCAACGCCTCTCGTAACCTGTGATAGCAAACCCTAAACCCTAAACCCTAAACCCTAAACCCTAAACCCTTAAGGCACCGAAGCAAATCCATCAGCCGACGCACCCAAAAGCCACTTTCCAGAAATAATTCCAAACAACCACACCGAAGAAAAGCCGTAGACCCTAACCCTAAACGCCAAACCCTAAACCCTAAACCCTAAACCCTAAACCCTAAACCCTAGCCGCACCGGATCCCAATAAGGGTACTCGCGAATCGTGAGACCCGCGCCAGGCCCGAAGACATTGTGGTGGTTTGACCAGGTGGGTTTGCTCAGGTACACGTACTGCGAAGCAAACCCCAAACCCTAAACCCTAAACCCTAAACCCGAAACCCTAAACCCTAAACACTAAACCCTGAACCCTGTGTCCTCAGCCCTCAACGCCGAACTCACAACCCTAAACCCTAAACCCTGAACCCTAAACCCCAAACCCCAAACCTGAACCCCCCACCTAAACCCTAAACCCTAGACCCTAAACCCTAAACCCTAAACCTCGCGCACGCGAGCAGTCGGCACGAAGTGACGAATGAATTCTCCCGCGAGCCTCAAAGCTCCTGTCCCCGAAAGGGTTTGGAGAGAAACAATTCTTCCTGCTGCTGCAGCAGCAAGATCTTCGCCGAACAGCAGCTTTTGCGTCAGCTGCAAAAACAAAAATTAAAATAAATGAAATTAAAAGAAATTGAAACAATAAAAAGAAGTAAACAAAGACAAAAGAAATAAAAAAGAAGCAAAAAGGGACAAAGGAGATACACAAAAGAAACAAAATGGATGGGCCCAGATCTGCATGCACAAGCACAATAAAGCCATGTTAGCTGCAGCAGCAGCAGCAGCAGCTGCTGCAGCAGCAGCAGCTGCTGCAGCAGCAGCTGCTGCTGCTGCTGTCGCTGCTTCGGCTGCTCCTGCCACTACTGCAACTGCCGCTGCTTCTACGACTACTGCTGCTGCAGCTACTGCTGCTGCTGCTAGTACTGCTGCTGCTGGAGTTGCAACTGTTGCTGCTGCTGCTGCTGCTGCTGCTTGCCTCTTTGAGTTCTGGCAGTCCGTCTATGGGCAAATACTCCTTGTTGACTGTGGGGTCGCTCATGATCTGCTCCTCCGCCATGCGCACAGCCCTGAGAAAGAAACCCTAAACCCTAAACCCTAAACCCTAAACCCTAAATCCTAAATCCTGTATGTCGCCGGCTTCGATACATATACCCATACAGATAAATGTGCAATAAATGTGAGTACAAAAATAAAAGTAAAAATAAAACACATAAATTAAAATTTAAAAAGAAATTTAATGTGAGTCTGAAAGTAGAAGAAAGAATAAAAAATAAAACAGATAGACCGGAGGCGCCTGCAGCAGCAGCAGCAACAGCAGCAGCAACAGCAGCAGCAGCAAAAGAAGGCCAAAGAACAATTTAAATGTGGAGCGGAAAAAGCACAATTCTTTGTTTTGCAGCTGCAGCCGCGGCCTTCTCCACTCCTGCTGCTGCCAGCACTTCCGCTGCAGCAGCAACTGCAAAAGCAGCTGCTGCTGCAATAACACCTGCTGCAGCAGCTGCTGTTGATGCCGTTTCCGCTGCTGCAGCTGCAACACCTGCTGCTGCTTCAGCAGCAGCAGCTACAGCTAATTCTACCTCAGCAGCCACAGCTACTGTGGCTGTTGCTTCAGTAGCAGCACCTACTGCCGCTGCTGTTTTACCAGCAGCAGCCACTGCCGCTGCTGCTTCACCACCGGCAGCTGCTGCACCAGCAGCTGCAGCAGCAGCAGCAGCTGCAGCAGCAGCAGCAGTAGCGGGGACCTCACTTGAAGACGTAGGGTTTTCCATCTTCAGTCCTGTAGGCCCCAACCCCCAAATCCACCTTTTTAGGGTTTTGGTCTTCTTTGAAGGCCTGGGCAAGCCCTAGAATGGGGTCTGGGGGCGCCAGGGGCACAGCAGCAAACAGCGACATCGCAGCAGCAGCAGCAGCAGCAGCAGCAGCGGCAGCAGCAGCAGCAGCAGCAGCGGCGGGGGAGGCGAAGGGGCGGACGGGAAAGGGGAGGGAGGAGGGAGCCGCAGGGGGTGGTGCAGCACGGGAGAATGAGCAGCAGTAGCAGCAGCAGCAGCTGGAGGCGCGAGGCTGCCGCGGGTACTGGCAGCTGGAACAGCTGCAACAGAGGCTCTACGGGGAGAAATAAACCAAATAATTCAAATAATATTATAAAATAAATAAATCAATTAAATTAAAATCCAAAAATATCTTATTTGTGCCGACAGACAGACGCAGCTAACCGTCTGGGCACACCAGGAAGCAAGGGGGGGCCCCCAGAGACCCAGGGGCCCCCCCCCCAAGGGGTCTCGAGACCCCTGCAGGAGGCCCCTGAGGGCCCCCTAGGGCCCCCAGGGGGCCCCCAGAATCATAAAAGGTAGAAAGTGTGTTAAAGTCTTTTAAATTAATTCAGAATAATCCTTTTTTTGGTGGAGAGAGCCGATGGGGGGCCCCGGAGGCCTGGGGGGTTGGGAGATCTCGAGGAGATAAAACACAAAGGGAAGATAATTCAAAAAGATAAAAAGATTAAAGATTTGTTTTTAAATGGATATATGCAGCAAGAGAGACACCAAAAGTTCGCTGCGGAGAGGCCTCAAAGTAGAAGGACTCAGTGACTCTGCCTGCTGCAG